TGGTTCAACTCAGATGTTTCTTTATTTTTTTAATTGTCATTCCTTTGAGAAAAGTGAGGTATTGAGGTTCTACACTATCCTTTCATTAGAGTCTATCTCTTTCTTCAGGTTAAATAATATTTGCTTTATGTTCTTATGTGATCCTAAGAACATATATGTTTATAATTAATATATCTTCTTATTTAATTGACCTTTTTAGTAATATATAATAAACTTCTTTGTCTCTTTTTACAGTTTTGCATGATTTATCTATTCTAAACCCTTCACTTTTATTGTGTGTATCTTTAACAGTGAAGAGAGTTTTTTGTAGGCAGCATATATATTTAGATCTTGTGTTTTTTTGTTTATTTATCCAGTTTATGTCATTTGATTAGTTAATTTTAGTCCATTTACACTAAGGAATATTATTGATAGTATGAGTATATTCCTGAAATTTGGTTAATTGTATTCTGCTTGCTTTGTATATTTTTTGCTTCTTTACACCTCTTTTATTATTTATTTTTTGTGATTTGGTAGTTTTCTGACATGTTAAGTTTTAGTTCTCTTCCCTTTCACTTTCATGATCTGCTCTAGAGAGTATTGGTATATTTGTGTGTTTTAAGATGGTAGTTATTATCCTTTCATTTCTAGTGTAGAATGCCCTTAAGTATTTAAGTTGGTCTGGTGGTGATGAATTCCCTCAGACTTTGCTTATCTGGGAAAGACTTCATTTCTAATTTAGTTTTGAAAGATAATTTTTCTTGGTATAATATTCTTGGTTGGCAGTTTTTTCTTTCAATGTTTTCAATGCATCTTCCCCCTTTCTTCTGGCCTGTAAGCATTCTTTTTTTTTGTTTGTTTGTTTTGTTTTGTTTTACTGAGAAATCTCTCTAGGTCTCAGGGGCCTTCCCTTTGACTTGACTTTTTTTTTCTTGTTGATTTTGTGATGCTTTTTGTCGAGTCTTTTGAGAGTCTTGGATCTGGATGTCCATTTCTCTTTGAAGTTTTGAGACATTTTCAGACATTATTTCATAAAATGAGTTTTCAATGGCTTCCTCTTTTCTTTGTCTCCTGGAATTTCCACAATGCCTATATTAGGTCTTTTGACTATGTCCCATATGCCTTGTAGGCTTTCTTTATTCTTTTAAATGTGTTTTTCTTTTTACTTGTCTGATTGTGTTAGTTTGTTAGACTAGTCTTTGAGTACCAGAAGTCTTTATTTTGCTTGATCTGTGTGGATGCTCTCTGTTGAATTTCTCACTTATATTGACTAAATATTTGGTTCTGAGTTTTATGATTGGTTATTTTTAAAATTATTATTTCTACCTCTCTGGCAAATTTTTCATCCATATCCTGCATTGTGTTCCTTACTTTTTGGTATTGTTTATTTGCATTTTTTTTTTGTGGTGTGGGGGATTGAACCCAGGGCCTTGGGCATGCAAGGCAAGCACCTCTACCAACTGAGCTATGTCCCCAGCCCTGTTTATTTGCATTCTTTTGTATCTCACTACATTTCTTTAGGATCATTATTTTAGGTCCTTTAGGCATCTCATAGATTTCCTTCAATTGAGATTAGCTTATTGAGAATTATTGTTTTACTTTGAAGGTGATATTTTTTCTTTCATGTTTCTTGTGTTCTTATATTGATTTATGCACATCTGTTATTACATTTATTTCTTCCAATTTTTTGAAGTCCTGGAAGTGATGAATATGAATGAGCCTGACTTTTGGTCCCTTGGGACAAGTTTGAATGATATTGAGGCTGTTTACATTAACAGCTGAAATCCCAAGGTTGTAGGCTACTTTGGAGACCTTCCTTAGCTCCCATTAGTCACATGCAGATGTTGGTAGGGGTCCTGGTCCCTCCTTGTGATGTTCATAGAGATTGGCCAGAGCCCTCCCAGCTCCCAATGCACAGAAGATGAAATGGGGAACTTGCAATAAGTAGTCCATCTTCCAGAGACCGTGGGGTTAGGAGGGGACCTCCCTGAGAGTATGCTGTAGAGTATAGGCACTGGTAGGTGTCCAGAGCGTCAGGGCTCAGCCAGGTCTTTCCTCAAGACTAGATGCAGAGACACAGGTGAAATTAAAGCCTGCACAATCAGAAACCAGAGCTTTAACCATCATATTCTTATTTGGTTCAACTATTATTTAAATGTCTCTTCCAAAATTAAGTACTGATGATTAATATTAGTAATTTATCTAGCAAAGAAGAGCTTATTTGTAGAATCTGATGTTATCTATCCCTTTGATAGACTCTACCTTAATACAAAATTGTATTTTTTTTCTTGAACTTTTAAATTTAATCGCAAATTAAATTAACGATTTCTAGTCTGTGGGATAGGATTTTCATCACTATCAAAGGGGACTTAGAAAAGGGTCAGGCAGCCCAGGCCAAGGAACAACCTAAGCAAAACTTCATCTAATTAAGAAGGGAGTAAAGTAGGGGAAGGCAAAAGAGGAAACCAAGAGGCCCACGGAGGCCAGTCACAGAGGGCCTTTTCTCCATACTCATACAGTTGTTAGGCTTTTTCCAGGTACCGCAGAGAGTCATTTAGAGTTATTAAGCAAGAGAAGGTCATTGTCACTTGGTGGCTAGTGTCAGGAAGGAGAGGATAGTGCTACTCCTGGTCAACCTTTAAGTCCTTCTCCCCTCTGTCCTTGAGGCTTGAGGCTCCCATTTAGCACCTGCTGTCCTTAAAACTGCCAGGCATGGAGGGAAGAGGGAGTATCCAAAGATCAGGGCTCAGAGGGAGAATTGGTCCCTGCATCCCTCCATCTCCAGCTCACCAGCCTCAGGCTGAATGTAATTGTCCTCATTGAAACCATCATCGTCCTCATCTTCACCTCTGGGTGGTTCCCACTTCCTGTTCTGGGCAGTGGGCGGTGTCAGTAGCTGGCATGGTAGTGGCAGCAGAGGTGGAATTTGGCAGCAAGTGCAAGGAGCACAGAGAAGATCACACCCCCAGAACAATCCCTACCAGCACAGGCCACACCACACCCACAGTCCAGGGGTTGTGGCTGATACTGTGAGGAGCTCCTAGGGCTCCACCTGGCTTTGGTTAGTCTCATTCAAGGAAGGGCTTGCTGACATCAGTGAGCCTTGACCCTTGCCAGAGGCCTATGCCTCTGTTCTTCAGGAACTGGGCACAGTCTGTGGCATAGAAGTGGCTTCTGGCTAGGCCAGCAGAACTTGGACAGGTCTAAATGAGCTATTTCTACCCAAAAGGAAATCTAAGTCAAACTTGATAAACAGGCACAAAATATCCATAATTTGTGTGAAGACAAATTTGTTACTGAAGAACTGGTTCTCTTCTGCAATATTTGTTTCAGCACAGGAGTTCTGCTTCTGGGAGGTGTCATTTATAAGTAAAGTAAATTTCATAATACTATCATTTTTGGGGGGGGGAGTGCAGGGGTGTGCCTGGGATTGAACTTAGGGCCATTTGACCACTGAGCCACTACTATACTATAATTTTTAGTGGAACTTAACTATAATATAAAAGGAATTGTGGGTTAAATAAAGTTTATAAATATGTGTTTAATGTACAGAAATTGAGTTTTATTACCAAGTTATTCTATTTTAAGTGAGACATGAATATATTTTCAAAAGTAGATAAAATAATCAATATTAATAAAAGTAACTAAATACAAATAAAATAACATACTGATAAATTGGTTTTAATGAAGTGTTTTAAAATTATGTTTAAATGTATAATATCAAATAGATAACTGCACACAAAAATATTGTTTTTCATATTTTTTCATAAGTATGAGTGTGAAACTTGCCCCATTTAATTCAAAGTAAATATTTAAGCTCAAATTGCAATTTAATAATGTGTTCAAATTTAGTAAGATCTGACTATAATATCAAAAAAGTTTATCTCATGTAAAATAATTTAAAATGTTAAGGTTTTAATAAAGACATATAAGATTTTAAATTAGAATGAAATATCAGTGAAAATAATAAAAATTATTTTAAGATATCTTTATACATACATATGTATACATGTGTGTATATATGCATGTGTGTGTATATATATATATATATGAATCTATATACACACACATGCATATATACACACATGTATACATACGTATGTATAAAGATATCTTTAAAAATATATATATATACACACATATATCAACTGGATTAAATGATTTTATAAAGATTTTATTGTTTTGACTTTGATAAAGTTTCCTAAAATTCCCAAAACAGTTCAAAATAACTATTACATTTTTATGCTGTTAATATATTTTTAATTTATCTCTGCATTCCTACAAATATGTTAGCTAGATCTGTCTTACACAAAGTAATGCATGAATCATAGACTGAAATGAATCTCAGAAGTCAAATACAACCTCAACCCAAACAGAAAAATGAAGAGATTCAAAACCATACAGCTAAAGAATGGAAGGAGAGAGCTAAAACAGATCCTGTGGCTTCCAGTCCAGGTATATACTATCCTTTGTCATGATTCCTTGTTAGAGGGAATGATTAAAAACATAAACATAAGACTTAAATATATAGAGAGGAAAAAGGGTTTGAGGGGAGATCAGAGATCAGGGTCTATCCTTCATTTATCAGGAGCATTGCCAAGTGTTTCTTGATGCCAAAGGAATTTATGTGGCCTTTGAAAAGACTAATGGGGGTGGTGAGCAGGTGTATAATCTCAATCTTCTGAAATATTTATGAGTAGAATAAAAACTCGGTGAGAAAGAGAGATGCCAACTGATTGGTTTGGGGATAAGACTAAAATGGGCTCTATAATTCATTTCTGCTTCAAGAGTTTGAATGATTTCAGTAATTAGAATATCTAATGCTTTCTTTTTATAATATTTTGGGAGGAAAAAGTGAGAGGTCCAAGAGGTAAAGGATGCACTGTAATTCACATTAACCACCTCCCCCTGTCAAATGAAGAGGAATTGTACTAAGAAAACACAGGACTCTGTTCCTCTATTCCAAGTTGGTAGTCTTCACCACTGTTATATCACATGGGGAGAATTAATTTTACACGTACCTTATTCTTGGTATAAAGGTGAGGTACCACTTTTTGGAACACCTTTGGCACTTGTTCCATTGTGTCATTATTAACGACGTGTAGTATACAGACTGGAAGTGCAGTGTAGACTTTAGGGACCAAAATCATATCTTGAGGAAACAAAAATGTTTCTCTGCAATCACAAAATTATGGACTTTTCTTAACTTGAGTCTTAAAGTTTGAAATTAGATTTAGTGCCAAGAAAATTTTTTTAGAAGTTTAAATAAAGTTCCAACTAACTAAAAGGTTCACATATTATTTCTTCAGAAATTATCATTAATTATGTTATTTTGACATATAAATCTTAACTACATTAAGAAATCCCATTTTATATATAATTTGTTATTTTTAGCTGATATTCTATTGCTCAGAAGTGAAATCTATTTCTATACTACAAGCATATTAATGTGTTATATTACTTTAATCATATTTCTAAATGTGACTATAAAATTCACATCGTCATATTTTGATGAAAGGAACATAGATAAGGATGTCTATATTATTCATCCATAACAAATGTGGAAAATTTTAACCTACTTATGAAAGCAAACTATAAATCGAGTTATTACTACTCTACTTTTACTACTATAAGTAAAACTCTACAGATATAAATACTGTATGCCATTTAAAGATGATATAATTCACCACTATTTAATAGTCTCACCTGAATACTATAAACCAAGAATTTGGTGGCTGGTCTGGATAGGTCACAGAATAGTCAGCAAAAGAAATCTTAGTTTCTTCATCTTGATAGCAAGGGTAAGATTCAATAGATTTGCACTTGCTTTTGAACATTAGTCTAGAAATGTAAAAGTAAATTGAGTATAAATGAAAAACAGGCTACTTTTAAAATAAACTCTTAAATAGAGAATAAATAGTGCAGGCAATGGTTTGATAGATTGAGTCCTTAATCAAAGTGTGGCCATGTGAGCCAGTACCTGGTGCCAAGGTAAAGGAGCCCATCCCAAGCACTCCTAAAAGATGTCTCTTGAAGGCACCCTAAGTTGTCTGAACTCTAGATCAAGGGAGAGTTATTGGTGGTAATCAAAGTTCATCGGTGGAAAATGAGACCCGAGTTTATAGCTGGGGAAATCAGAAGCAAACCAGCTTTAGGTAGCAGCCACTAAATGATCTAGAACTGAGGAGGAAAATAAGAGACCAGAATGGAATTTAAATATTAAAAGTGGGTTTGAAAAAATAGACTAAAAACAAAAACAAAAAAGAACTAAAGCCATGAACAAGGGAAGAGTACTAGAGCTTTCCTTCTGCATGATTTCTGCTATATAAGGAAGTGGTGAATGCAGCTGGTTAAAAGAATTATAGACTGCAGTCTGTCCACGTTTGCCCCCTGCAAGATTGGCATACTCCAAAATTTCATGTGATGGCTCCTCTTGGGTCTTTTTCCTCCCACCCTACCAAAATCTAGATCCAGCCTTTGTAGTACCAGCAATATAGGCTCTTTTATATGAAGTCTCAGGTATTTTCTGGGATAGAGACTATAATGGACATAGAAAAAGGTTCTCTATTAGAGGTCAATTCAGACCTAGAGATGTTCTTGGCTCCCAGAAGGCAGATGGTTTCATTGGTGGTCAGTGGAAAGCAAAGCCATGGAGCCCTTATGGAGGACAGAGTTCATATAAGCCAGTTGATCCTCAGTCTTTGGTGATGGGAGAAAATTAGCAGGGTTATACCTGGAGGGGTTGATAAAGCCTTTTAAAATGGTAACAAGAACAAAGAGTAAGGGTTGCCTGGGGTAGAGGTGACTTCTGCTTATAGTCCTGGCATAAATATTAATAGTTCTCCATATTTTCTTGTCAAAGCGTCTGAATGTGAATGGCAAATGACGTGATCACCATAAGAGGAATTAAATGTGGTGGTCTGCTGATGCAGAACACTGCTGTAAGGCAGATGGGACTGACCCAGTCTACACATGGGCTTTGGTTGAGCCAACACAAGAACAAAGCAGGTCATATGGAGCACTGAAATGAAACCTCCCACCATTCTAAAGTAAGGGTGAGACTGAGAGTCTTTCTAAACTGTCTCTTTTCCCCCCACACTCTGTGTGTGTTTTCATCTAACTCAAGAAATCCTAATAAATATAAGGTCATCCAAATCTTGATGTACCATGTGGAATATTGTGAATGACCCATAAAGACATCCACAATAGAGGTAAAAGATCTAATCATAATTAAGACTTAATTTAGTCAGATTTTTATTGACCCCACTTCTTCACAGGGGAACTTGTTCCTTAGCATGCCCTTTACATGAAAAGTAGGTGTAGGATCTGACTAGATAGAAATCTTCCTGTGTATGTGGGTGTAGTGGCACATGCCTGTCATCCTAGTGGCTTAGGAGGTGAGACAGGAGGATCACAAGTTCAAGGCCAGCCTCAGCAACTTAGTGATACCCTAAGCAACTCAGTGAGACCCTGTCTCAAAATAAAAAATAAAAAGGGCTGGGGATGTGGCTCAGAGATTAAGTACCCCTGGGTTCTAGAAATCTTCCCAGGAGAGCCTCCACAATGCAGAAGCAAAATGTAAAATGTACAATTTGCAGAAACAAATTGTAAAATTGCAAAATGTATTTATATATAATTTTCTATTTCTCTCTTGCCCACAAATAAAGTCAGTTTTTAATTTATGTTAGTCTTGTATCCAACTTTCTTCAATTCTCTTGTTAATTCTAACAGTTTTTATGCATTTTTTGTTGTGTTCTACATACATAATCCTATTACCTGTTAATAGTGGAAGTTTTGTTTCTTCCTTTAAAGCCCTCGTGACTTCCGCTTTACTTTACTGCTGTTACACCCTTCTGGGAATTTCAGGACTATCTTGAGTGTAAGTGGCCGGACAGATATCTTTGTCTCATTACCAATCTCAGGGAAAACTTTCTCTAGGTGCAGTTTTCTTTATGTCTTTCCTACGTGGGGTCTGCAGATTCTCTTAAAAATATGGCTTGTTGTCTTTTATCAGCTTTTGGAAGTTCTCAGCTATTGTTTTCTTGCATTCCAGTCACTAACTACATATACTCTAGACTCTATGAGTGTGTTCCTCAAGTCCCTTGGACTCATTATTTACTTTTACATTCTTGCCTGCTTCAGTTGGATACTTTGCCATTGACCTGTCTTGTAGTACATCTGATCTCTTCTTCTCTTCTGCCTAATTTGCTGTTATATCCACTCTTGCTTTCAAATATTAAAATGTTCCAGCATACACTTTCTGTTTTACTATATTTTATTAATAAAAGTACTAAACTTTACATCTAGTTTTTCTTTCTTTCTTCTTTATGTTCCTGAGCATTTCCATAATAGTCATATCATAGCCAACTATAATAGGATTTTTTTTCTGCCACCTCCAATATCTGGATCAGGTGAGGCTTAAAATTACATATACATGAATAGTTTTCTCTTTATTTTATTCAGATTTTCCTATCTCTTGGAACAGACTTGTGGCTAGAATAAATTTTTCTTAAGACTCAATCTACTTCCAATTTGCCCCTGTCCTCTAGGGATTTTATCTGATTACTTTGTTTGTTGGGACATCTCCCTTACCTGATCCTAAACTCTTAACTTTTGTCTTCTTGGTTCAATAAGATTTCAGGAGGCTTTATTCTGCTTTTCTATTTAGAATTTTAGCCATGTACAACTAAGACACAAACAAAAAGTAGCAATATTTTAGATAAACTGTAGTGAAATATTTTGGATAAAATGTAGTGGAAGTTCAAAAGCAGTGGTATTTCTAACTGTAATGATTCAGGAAAAACTCAACAGGTATGGTAGCATTTGAACTGGACCCTGAAGTACATCAATGTCACTATGGTGCCTTACCTTAAGAGTGAAACTGCATACTGTTCTAAATTCATTTCCAACATAGCCCAAACTTTTTGAAGTGTATCTGCAACAATAGCATTTTCCTTTGTCTCTAAAAATAATAATAAAAATAACAATATTAAATCTGTGAGATGCCTGAAAGATCATCTTTTTCGCAGTCTTCATTGCACAGATGAAGACTTTGAAATTCACAAGTAAGACAGCTCCAAACTCACAAGCTTCTTAACCAAAAAGATCATGTGTAAAGTATAGAACTATAAACTTTTAGGTAAGATCTCTGCTCACGACGTTATGCTATTTTCCTTCATCTTTAGTTTGAATATCATAAACTGTTTTTTTTGATGTAGTGGAAGATACTCATCAAAAGGGTTATGTAAGAAGAGATTCTGTCACACCAGACATTTCTTATGGAAAATCTTCATCCCGGAAAAAGCAATTCAATCCATTTTTCTAAAGAACAAGAGCTAATAGGATTCCACTAATGCTTAATCTACTGCATTTATCCACAAATGGCTTAAAAGTAGGTGATCTTGTAGGAAGATGCATCCCATAATCAGCACCCTACAGTTAACTTGACAGAAACCAACATTCTTTTTCCAATTATCCTACTTCAATTTTTTTGTAGTGTTATGGTTTGATGCAAGGTGTCCTCCAAAAGCTCATGTGTGAGACAATGCAAGAAAGTTTAGAGGAGAAATGCTTGGGTTATGAGAGCTTTAACCCAATCAGTGAATTTCTCTCCTGATAGGATTAACTGAGTGGGAACCAAAGGTGGGTAGTGTATGGCTAGAGAAAGTGGACGGGCACTGGAGACATGCCCTTCTGGTATATATTTTGTATCTGGTGAGTGGAGTCTCTATCTCCCCTCCTGATCATCACGTGAGCTGAGTTCCTCTGGCATACTCTTCATCCATGATGTTATGCCTGACTTTGAGTCCCAAAGAATCGACCTGGTTATCTCTGGACTGGGATCTCTGAAAGTGTGAGCCACCAGCTAAACTTTTTCTCCTCTAAAATTGTGGTCATGTCTTTTAGTCACAGCAGAGAAAAAGCTGACTAAAACACATAGTCTTTCCATAGATATCTAAAACTGATATCGTAAGATATTTACCTGTCTACTGTATATATACTTAATGCATATGGGAACATAAGTCTCATTAGAGCAGAAATTTTGTCTGTTTCACTGACTTCTATAATGCTAAAATCTACAACAGTGCTTCACTCATGAGTTTTACTCAATAACTATGTGGTGAGTGAAAGAAATGAAAATACCACTAAGAACATTATTAAATGGCTAAAGTTTTCCAGTTTCTAAAGGGGAAAATAAATCATTGTATGAATTTAATTTTAGAATATATATGGACAACTAAAAGCATATTTCACCATACATTTAGTTTGATAAATACACATATTTTTCTAATAGAAAAAATTAAAATCAGGCAATTGTAATATTTTCTGTCATAAAACTAAGCAGTGAACGTTTTTCCCTTGGTGTTTCTGTATAGTTTTGGCTCCTTACATGAATGTTTTGACTATTGGCATTAAATGTTTCAAATAGAGATTTTTTTATAACAAATATAACAAATATTTTTCAAGATAACCAAAAAATCTTATTGAAGATATTTTCCTATCAACATGCTGACAGAAATACCACAATAAAATAATTAAATATAATTTCTACTCTTTTCTCTTAAGCTATAATATACACATTTTCACATAAAATTTAAACACCTAAGTATATTTGATTTAATAAATCTCAGAATACACTTGAAAAAAATGCATTTCATGCATTCTTGAAGTGGTTACTCATATGGAGGCTTCTTTATTATTCATTCATTCATTCATTCATTCATCCATTCATTTGAAATCCACTCTAGAAATGTAGAAATCTCTACGACTTAACTGATGAGTGATACAGCTCGCTGATAGTCACTGGTTAGGTATTGAGAGAAAGATTAGTTCCTTCTTTGAAAGAATTTGCAATGGATTTGAAAACAAAACTGATCACTCCCTTGTTCCTTCATTATTCATGCATTCTTTCAGCAAGTATTTATTGTGTGCTCTGTATCAGGCACTCTGCTAAATTTGGGGAACAGGAGAGTGAGTGTTGACACGCTTATTGACCTCAAGTAATTTCAGTATTTGTAGAATGACAATTAATTAGCAGAGCCATAAAGTAGGACGACTGATTCTTAGATAATTTCAATTAGCACACATAAATACAGTTATTCTTATACACACCAGTTCATTTTATACGTGTTCAAAAAATACCTGGTGTTCTGGCTTTCATAAGTAATCTAATGTAAGCCCCTCTCCACATGGATTGAATTTTAATTGCTGCTGCCATTTCCTCAGGAGAATACTCTTTGTCATTTGATGATGGCAAAAAAAATTTAGTGTCTATCCATTCTGCTGGAAAAGAAAAACAAGCTCTGGACAGAAAAGCCATATTTAATCCCTTCCCCAAATTTCAATGCTTTTGCCTACTAAACCCTCTGACATGTTCAAGGCCACCATGCTGGATTTATCATTATATTGAATGTTGCCTGTTGTCTGTTTCAGAATGGGAACATTCTTGAGAAGGGAAACACGTGAACTAGGGATACCTCAGTGAACTATTAGAGATTGCTCTGTGCAAAGAGCCAGAGGTTTTCCTGAGAACTGAAAGGAAGCATAAAAATGATGGGAATGAAGATTGCATATGGGAAGAGGGGGAAGTGAAGACAATTGGTTTGGGGGATCTTCCTAGAGTGCCTTACATGATATCACCTAATGAGTAGCTTTCATATCTTTTTAAGGTTAGGAGAAAACAAAATGGGGAAATTCTGGAAGTAGGTGTGGCAGGAATTAGGAAGGATACTCAGCAGATCCTAGGAACTCCTTGACCTCTGTGACCATATCCACGTAGATCTGTTCAACCTACACCACAAAAATCTGAAGCACATTCTTTACCAAGTACTTATCTCTATAGGGCTAGAGATTCTTTGGTCAAGTATTTAAAATTAATACCTAAAGAAACGTCCTCTAAGGAAGAATCAAGTAATTCCACATCCAAGACCATAGCACGGAATGCAAATTTAAAGTTTGAAAGAGGCTTTGCCATTTGAGCTTTTTTCATTAAACGCCATAAAGAAATATAAAAAACCTGAAAAAGATAAAATACATTTATACATTTTTGAAACCAAGAAAATGCCATAACCTGGCCATAGAATCTTAATGATATGTAAAAAAACATTTTTAAATATATATACAATCTAACAGAAGACTCTTTTTTTGGCGGGGGTGGTATTTGGGATTGAACTCTGAGGTGTTTTATCGCTGACCTCTGAGCTATACATCTCTAGCCTTTTGATTTTTTTTTTTTTAATTTTGAGACAGAGTCTCACTAAGTTGTTGAGGTTGGCCTTGAACCTACAATCCTCCTGTATCAGTTTCCCAAGTCACTGGGCTTGCTGGTATGCATTACCACACCCAGGTAACAGAAGACTCTTCCAAGCCTCACTCACCTAGTAAAGATCAAATTCATCATTTTCTTTTTTTCTAATTTAATAAAACTTAATTACTGCCATAAGTTTATGATAAATATCCAATCACAATACAGTGTTAAACTGGTTGAGAAGATACAGAGTAAGATAAAAATATGATCCATGTACTTAAGCAAGTTCAACACCATATTTCATTGTTAAAAGATGCTAGAAAGACATCATTGTTTAATATGGTAAAAAAACAAGAAAATATGTTGCTTAGAGTTTTTATCACTTTCTTATCATACAGGTGTATTTTTTATATTGAAAAAGTTCTTGCAGATATATTTAGTAAGGTTTTTCAGCATGTCACTTTTAAAATATATAATGGAGATGTTTTGTTACCAGAACACCCCCCTTTTTGTAAGGGATGCATGCATGAGGACCCTTTATATATTAAATCAGGGCTAGCCATGATAGGCCCAGGCACAAAGTCATGGGGAGCAGAGATGCTGACTACCCAAGGCCCTACTGCACAGTCTCTCTCTCCTCTAGGTGGTCATCTAACCTGTCAGTAACAGCAACTGACTATCCTTGACATGGTGCTTGATATTGTGACATCCTCTGAGGAGTCCAGCCAGTCACTTGGTGGCAAGTGAGTTTCCATGTATTTCCAACAAGGTGGTCATAGATTCATCTTTCCTAGAATTGACAGCTACCACAGGAATGAGTATCACTGTCCAGAAAGTTGTAGAAGATATGATTTATAAACATGCAATCCAGTCTAACATACTCTTGCACCAACAAACAGGCTATACAGTGAGGATATTTAACCTTTGAGAATTGTTTTGTACCCAGTGGTTCTAAAATTTTCTATAGATAGAATTGAATTCCTGGTAATTGGAATGGCACATGAAAGGCTAAGTAAGAAGTCATCTTGGAATGAGAGTGTCCATCTATTGAGCTAAGACCAATATGTAGTGCTCTTTGGATCTTGGCAAGCATTTCTTGTAATTATTCCTTGTAATTGTGCCCTAGGTAAATGATTCTCACCTAGGGGTGATTTGCTCCCAGGTAAGGTTGATGGGTAAAATATACTACACTGTAGAGGCAAATGCACATTTAAAATAAGAGCCCCACTCATTTTCTTGGGGTATTTATTTTAGAAAACATGATTCTAAGCTCTTTCTTTTTAAAAGGTAAATAAGCCTCTTTCAGCTTTGAATTCCAGAAATGTCTTAAGGACCTGGGAACCAGCTCTTTGAAATGTTGTCATCAAGGAAGATAACGCCCTCACCTTCCAGTTTCTTTGGGAGGGTAGGAGTCTGACTTCGGTGGGTACTATGCTTAAGTTACAAAACTGCCCCTTGTCTGAAATGTGGGGAAAACTCATTTTTCTTTTGCAAAAAGACAATTAACTAACACAAATGGACACCCCTGATGCTTAGGGAATTTAGGATGAACTATGTGTGACAAATGGGGCCATTGGGTCTTTTTACTTGAGACCTCCCTGTTGTTTGCCTCTAGAGTATGTATGGGGGACTGCGCCTACTTGACTACAGAAAAAGATGAGTTTTTTTGTCTTTGCAATCTCTTAGCTGATTGCCTGTGATGTTTATCATATCCTGTTTTCTTCAATAGAAAATGTTTTTTCTGTCTTTGTAAAAAGGTCTTCTAGGTTGGAGAGAAGATTTTGTTTTCAATTGTTTCTTCAATAACACCCCATATCTACTTGTATTTGAATAACGAATAACATGAATATTTTTTAGAAATATTTTTTGTTATAAGCCTGAACTAAATATGGTACATACTGTTTGTTTACATTAAATTCAAATTTAACTGCATGTTCTCTATTTTTTTTGTTTACATGACAATAGATTATATTTTGTTATATGTGACAATAGAATGTATTTTGACATATCATACATACATGGAGTATAACTTCCCATTTTTATGATCATTTTCTGTCTGGAGACATTTTCTATTGTCACAATTGGATGCTACTGGCAACTAGAGGGTAGAGACTTGTGATGCTATTTCACATCTTGCAGTGCACAAGACAGCCCCATCACAAGAATTACCTAGCCTAACAAGTCAATAATGTCAAGGTTAAAAAATGCAGACATATGTCCACTTGACTGCTGGGCAGCTAGGGTGTACAGGTTCAAGTATGCTCTCAGTCTCCCTTGTCAAGAGGCCACCAGGAAACCCCTGCGCTTTACTCCTCCTGGCTGTTTGTGAAGCCAGAATGCTACTTAGCCCTGGCAGAGACACAGGTTCTACTTGAAAGAAAGTTAAAGTTCCCAAGGGCAACCACATATCAATAGGGAAACAGTTGGTGGGCAAGGGTCTTAGTCTCTCCACCCTTCTGAGGGACAACCTATGGTTTATAAGGATGATGGAGGCCCAGTAGTCCACTGCAGCAATAATCACGTTCTTTAACCAATTTCTTCCTCTTTCTCATTCTCTTCTTTTCACTCCCTCATTTCTTCTTTCTGAAATCTCTTCCCAAATAAATTACCTCCATCCAGAATATTTTCTCTGGTTCAGATTCTGGAGGTCACCTGAGATAATATATTGCATTTCAAATAGAAAGCCCCTCTTCAGGAACATCCCATCTTGGACAAGCTTACCCTGAAGTGCTGGACCATGAGCTCTTTGTCGTGGAGAGGCACAGGGTAATGAGCCGCTTGCAGATCCTTCAGAGCTGCAGATAATCTAACCTTGTCTCTGAAATTAGCAATCACATTTCCAACAGCTTTCATAATAAGCAGAGACTGTTCTGTGAATCGGTAGCTCTCCTATAAAAATGAAGAATATATAGGAGCCAACCTTGAGTTTATTGAAGTGTAATTAAGTTTACAAAAATTTGATTTCTGGGGGGAAAACAAATTTTAACTATGTGGTTGACCCAGCAGCTCTCTGTGGAGAACTTACTTGAACAAAGCCTTTTTACTAGACGCTGTAGTCTCAGTGGTACATACACAGGAGGGATACCTAGCTGACACTGGAGGTCAGGGAAGATTTCCACACAGTATTAACATCCAGACTTAGTTCAGAAGGATGGCAAGGAATTAGTTTGACAAAAACCAAGTGGAGTTTGAGGACTGAGGGGCACAGAAAATTGTTGGGAGAAAATCATAAAAACAAACAAAAAACCGAGAGGGTGAGCTAGCTCGGGCTGTTGGCTATCAACTCTGAGGAAACAAGAAGAGCAAGAGGGAGACAGAGGTTTCAGAAAGTAATTCATATTTTTAAAAATCTGAGAACTTCCTGAGGTGATGGAAGACTGTCTTGTGTGGTGTGTGGTGAGTAGTGGTGGTTGCCTGGCAGGTACTTGGAGGCGCAGGAACAGAGCAAGGCCAGAGGAGAACCATGAAGTCAGCTTTACCTCTTCCCAGGGTGCATCACAGTGCCACCATTGCATCTTGGTTGCCTGCAGAAATACTGTGGAATGGCTCAGCCCATGTTCCTGGAGAGCACAGATGCCTCACTGGGGTGAGAAACTGATGCTATCTTAGTGAATTTGCCTCCCCATTACCTCTTCCAAGTCCCAGTCTTAAAAAGGCTCATTGAAGCAGTGATTCCCCTTAAGGGGAACTTATGGCCAAGACAATGTCTGGGTAAGTAGCAGCATTGAGAATGATGACATTATTATCCAAAGTACATGTATGAAGACATGACTTGGTGTGAACGTAACTTTATATACAAACAGAGATGTGAAAAATCATTCTCTACATATGTAATAAGAATTGTAATGCATTCCACTGTCATGTATTTAAAAAATAAAATCAATTTTAAAAAGTAAAATCTGCGAGATTAAAAAAAGAGAGAGAGAGAGAGAGAGAATGACCACTCAGGACTCTGAGGAGCATGAGTCCCCCGACCCTGGGGTCAGTCTGTCCTTCTTTGTCTCTTCAGTAGGATCAAAGAGACATGAGTACTGGGCTTGAGTCCCAATAATCTTTACAAGACACAGAAATGGTACCTCCAAGGAAACAAGCTCACACACCAAAACAATTAAGTCCCTAGGGAGTTAAATCACCTGCAGGAAGATGAAAAACTAGATAAAACAGATCATCTGAAGCCAAATTATTCTAAAATGATAAGAATTTGAAATAAGCAGGATAAATATAGTCAAGGAAATAAGGGGCACATGCATATAAGATGGATTTGCTAAGCAAATGTTCCTTCTGTGCCTCAAAAAGACATGGTGTCGCTGAGATGGCACAGTGGAGAGAGGAGAGAGGGTGAGTGAGGCAAGGAAGCTGCCCTTGAGCTTCACTGTTGCTAGCAGAATTGTGGGCTGGCATACAGCCCCCCATCAGTACAAGGTTGTTCACTTGGAGTTGGGTCTCTTTTGTTTTGTTTTGGTTGTTAGGGAGGAGTTGTTAGAGGTGAGAAAGTACCAGGAATTATGCTATGGGGAGGGCCATATTCTAGGCTTCCCCCAAATGCACATAGGCAGAGAAAAGATCTACAGAAAAGAGAAGACTTCAGAAGAGGTGCTGGCCCTGCTGGCCATGTCAGAACAGAGAAGCAAGAGAAATCAAGAAGAGACCAAGAAAAAGTGGCAACAGAAACAAACTCCCATGAGCCCTTTGCCTTCTGAATCCCAGGGACATACCCATTTCTTAAGCCAAGGAAGGAATGAAAGGAGTTTCAAAAATTTAAACCATATCAAACAGGACTGTACTGATTGTTTATTCCGCAAAGGAACAATGACATTATGAGACCTCCCTGAGAAGTCAACAGATGTGAAAAGGGACTCAACAGAGAAGAGGTCAGGGCAGTCACTGGAGGAAAATTAAATTATTTTATTTATATCAATACAGAATTTAGATTGTCCACTATACAAATTGCAGTTAGGCATTTCATAAAGAATATACCAAATAGTTTAAAAGGGCAAAAAGTAAATGAAAAATGGAGATAGAATTTCCTTCAAAATCTTTGAAGATAAAACACACACAGAATGCAGTTGCTAAGATATTTACCGGCTCAAAGTTGGGCAGCACCACATCTTCATCCCCAATGACGAAGGTCACCATGCTGCAGACATGTATGGAGTGTCCCACTGGGGAGTACACGGTGAAGAGCAGCATGTGTCTCCTAAAGGGAATGGGTTCTGTGAGGACCAGCTGCCTCCTCTGCTGTCATGTTTGCCTTTATTAGTTATTCGAGAACAACTTAAAACTAAAACTAGGATAAAGGTCTCTGAAGCGTTGAGTTTTACTATATATATATATATA